GGAATGCCTGAGCAACAGAGAGAGACCACAGAAATTGAGCTGAGGCAATCAACATGCCCCATCAAAGGTATCCTAGCCCAGGGACTGCATGAATGGCAGGTGTGCCTGAGCTGACATCCTAGGAAGAAATACCCCAGATGCCACCACTAGAGGTGCAGAAATGGAAACAAGCAGCACGAGAAGAGCTTGAAACTCAAGAATAACACGTGGACACTTACAGAGCTCCCTCCACAGAGCAAAGGCATAGGATGTAAGTGGGTCCCTAAGGTGAAGCATGATGCAGAAGGTGAGGTCCAATGCTACAAAGCCAGACTGATATACCAAGGGACATCGTAGAAGACTATGATGAAACCTTCGCACCAGTGGTCAAACATGCTACAGTGAGACCACTTTTAAGTGTCACTGCAAGCAAACAAATGCACGTGGAGCATCTCAACGTGAAAACTGTGTTCTTACATGGAGAGCTAGAAGAGGACATTTTTATGAAGCAACCACCAGGATTTATAGAAAAAGGCAAAGAAGAACTCAAGTGTAAGCTTCAGAAGAGCATCTGTGGGCTCAAGCAAACAGCCAAAGCAAGGAACTCAAAACTCAGGGACATGCTACTGGAGGCAAGCTTCCAGAGAACCAAGTCAGATCCTTGCCTGTACACCAGACGCAAAGGTGGCAAATGGACATACCTTCTTACCTACGTGGACGACTTGGCCCTAGATTATGAAAACCCAGATGACAGCAGAGAAATAATAGATCATCTGGACAAGCAAGTGGAAATCAAGCAACTTGGCAACATCACCCACTACTTAGGCATCCAGATACAGAGAGAACGAGATGGAAGCTTTCTCATCAACCAGGAGCAGAAAATCAGAGAACTGATAAAGCATTTGAGAATGGAAAATGCCAAGCCTACACCAACCCCCATGGAAGTAAGCTACATAAAGCAACAGTGCTCATGAGCTACCTGCTGACAGGACATACCGAGAAGCCCCGAGTAAGCAACTCTACATCAGCACATCGACCAGACCAGACCAGACATTAGTACAGCAGTAGAATTACTATGCAGAAAGTCAGCCAAGCCAATAACCGTCCACCCAGCGGTTCAAAAGCTTCAGCAAGTAGATAAAATGGGTACCACTCCTTAGAGAGAGAGAGAGTGGGCACCCTAACCCCCCCCCCCCGGTGGGGGTTGTGTTAGCCGATCGGATGGTCTGCGCATAAGATACGAAAGCTGAGAAAGATCTACGCAGCGTCGAAGCCTGCAATAGGCCATTCGGCCAGATGGTGGCAGTGATGCGCTGCGACTGAGACAATGCTGACGACATCATGCGAAGCCAAAAAAAGGAATGCTGCCGGGAACACATCTGGACCTTACAGCCGACCAAACTCCGTGGACTACGAAATGTGTGTGATTTAATGATATGTTGTCCTCCCTTACCCCCAGCATTGTTAGTCCCATGTGAAATTCAGGAGTAACTGTAAATCGCTGCACAAGGCTGCCAGGAAATACAGTGGCTACGCGAACTGCAAACAGATTTAGGCATTGAAGCACCACAGCCTATACAGGTGAATGAGGACAAACAAAGCTGCTTTCACCTATCTGAGCGAGAAGATGTGAACCAATGCACCAAAAACACTGACATCAAGTACCACTTGGTGAGAGATCTGCAGAAGGAAGGAATCATCGAACTGACCTGTTGACCTACAGAAGAGATGACTGCAGATGCCCTCACTAAGCTACTCCCTAGAGAATGATTCAAAGCCCCGAGAAAGAAGATGAATCTAGTGTAGGGTTGCCAACCCCCCCCCTGGTTTGGCAGGGGTCCCCCAGTTTTTTTGGGGTTCTACTCACCTCCGGCCAGTTGGCTGATGGGGGAAGCTCCGCCCCCAAGCCCCAACACCCGCAGCCACCCTTCTCCCTGCACTTAAAGGGGCCCCTGGTGTTTCCCTGCGCGACCATCGGGCAGGGGGGCAGACATTTCCAACTTGATGTCATCACATTGGGATGCCCCGCCCCTTATGGGAACGCCCCCCAAAGTCCCCTGCAGGGGGCTAAAATGGACTTGGCAACCCTAATCTAGTGGGCTGGGTCACGAAACATCGAGAGGGGGTATTGGAAGAGAAGGTCCTTGGTGCTGTCTCTTAGCCTCAGCGCTTAGAGGGGAATATACA